TTATAGTGGATCTCAGTTCTTTACGATAAACGTACTGCTTTGCTTTGATTTACCATGCCAACATCGCCTCCTAGTGGCCCACTTTGATCAAATGCCCAATGCTTTCTCCGTCCAAGACAGAAGACAAATTTTAACATTAGTGTATGTGAAAGGCAATGATGTAACTGGGTTTAAATGATTTATCACATCTTTCGGCATCAGTATTGGTTGTGTCTGTACAGAAATAGGTCAGTATGGTTTAAGGAACCGTTAACAGTGGAATTTAGAAAGAGAAACCAATGCTTCAAAGAGGATTCGAAAACAAGCATTCTTGTTTGCATCAGCAGATCCTGTAAGACTGTAATCTGTAAGGCATGCATGGTCTTCAAAACCTCAAGACTCTTTAACTTTGTTAATTCAAAGTTGGACTTTTCTAGTTAAAGGGATTGTTCACCCAAAAATGAAAATTACCCCATGATTTACTCAAGCCATCCTAGGTGTATCTGACTTTATTCTTTCAGACGAATACAATCGGAGTTATATTTTTAAAAAGCTTTTATAATAGCAGCGAACGGTGGTCGAGATTTTTAAATTTCAATAAAGTGCATCCATCCATCCATCATAAAAAGCATTCCACACAGCACAGGGGCATTAATAAAGGCCTCCTGAAGTGAATCGATGTATATGTGAAAGAAAAATATCCATATTTAAAACTTTATAAACCATAAATTCTAGTTTCTGCTATCTGTAGTACTCATGTACACAATAGAGTAGCGCCAGCAGGTGATGTAGGACCAGCCTGGTCTCATGTTTATACGTAGGTATTAGTAACATTTACAAGCACAAAACCTACACTTTTGTACGCTTTCATTCATGCTAAAACGTACAATTTAGACGTATTTCAACGTTTAAAACGTACAAATCGCTACGTATTTTTATAAAAAATATGTATGTATCTTTTATATCATTTAGATATTCGTATCAATGCATTTTTATCATTTTATCAATAAGCGATTTCGATTTTTAGACCCCTTAACCTGCCCCCAAACCTACCCATTTTATAGCGAATATGCATTTTTATCATTTTATCAATAAGCAATTTCGATTTTTAGACCCCTTAACCTACCCATTCTATAGCGATAAAGGATATAAAACGCAAATTACCGAAATACGCAGGAAAATACAAAATTTTTAAACAATATATCATTACAATATATTTATAGTCGCTAATTCCACTCCTACCTATAAGCCTAAACATTTCTGTACAGTATAAGAAAAACATGACAGATAAATGCAATTAACGTTACAATCATTTATTTATTGCAAAAATGTCAAAAGCAGTACTAAAAGTAATCCAGGCTTTGTCCGCTATAACTTAAAATGCTTTGAAATGAGGCAATGTTTAGAGCAACTGAGAACATGAGAATGAACTACTAGATTCCCTGGAATTTTGTACAAATTCTGGAATTCTGTTATGAAACTGAAATGAAAATGAATATTTTATATTTAATCATTTTTCTATAGAAAGCTATTTCTGTAAAAAAAAAAAAAGTAGGCCAAACATCTCTCTTTCACTCTCGCTCTCCATCTGTCTCTCTCCTCCCACAAAGTTTCAATGTTTCAGTAGCTTTATGACAAACAATTTAAATTACCAATGTAGTAGAGAATGGGACAATTTGAAAATAACAATAAAACCCCCCCTCTCTCTCTCTCTTTCTTTCTTTCTTTCATACTCAGTATTTATCTCCTTCTCCCTGGTTTTCTGACAAATTTCAAGCTTCAGGATCCTGTACTGTTTTTGAAAGCTAAAACATCTGTGCCAACAATAGTAGCCTTGCAGCTTCAACACCAAGCCTGACTCAGATCCCAAAAGTGTCCCAGGAGATTAACATGTTCCCCTTTGAAGTTTACATGCAAAAAGACAAATAACATGTATTTTTATCTCTACCACCACAAATGTATTCTGAAACAAATAACACAATTATAAAACGTAGTCTCATATTATATTTCAGGTTTGAATTTGATTGAAAACATTGCCTGCTACTAGAAGTGAGCTGCATTTCTATTTTGTATTCTTTAAGAGACAGTTGACACAAAAGAAAACCTAACCTTGTTGTGACATGCCCTGTAGCTTTTATTAATTGAACTATGTGGCACAGTGTGTCCAAACCTTTCAAATTTGTTCACACACACACAAGAAAAAGGGATGGGTGCCCTGTTAACCTGTAAGCAGGCAAGTGCATTACAAACATAGTGAATGCAAATAAAACTGGATTTTTATGTTTTCTTTGGATAGGCCTACAGTTTGCAGGGTAGTGGCTAACTGACTGTTATGTTGGTACACATGGTTTTTATAGGATGAGAGTTCTAGATGTCTTTCATAGGATAAAACATACACTTTATCCTTCCCTTGCTGAAGGAAAAGCTGTAATATCCTGTTCTGATGTCACGTAGGAGGGCGTTATTGTTAAGCAGCTCTCCTTTATTTCCCATTGTTTCCAGTGCTTTATTTCATGTGGCTCCAAAAACAGCTGAGTAACTACTTCTAAAGTGAACAAAATGCCACATTGATGGTGACCTGATCACATCAAGATCATGGCTGTCTGTAAATTCTGTTAGTGAAAGTAGAAGATATGATAATGGGTGCAAATTCGTTTATAGTGGATCTCAGTTCTTTACGATAAACGTACTGCTTTGCTTTGATTTACCATGCCAACATCGCCTCCTAGTGGCCCACTTTGATCAAATGCCCAATGCTTTCTCCGTCCAAGACAGAAGACAAATTTTAACATTAGTGTATGTGAAAGGCAATGATGTAACTGGGTTTAAATGATTTATCACATCTTTCGGCATCAGTATTGGTTGTGTCTGTACAGAAATAGGTCAGTATGGTTTAAGGAACCGTTAACAGTGGAATTTAGAAAGAGAAACCAATGCTTCAAAGAGGATTCGAAAACAAGCATTCTTGTTTGCATCAGCAGATCCTGTAAGACTGTAATCTGTAAGGCATGCATGGTCTTCAAAACCTCAAGACTCTTTAACTTTGTTAATTCAAAGTTGGACTTTTCTAGTTAAAGGGATTGTTCACCCAAAAATGAAAATTACCCCATGATTTACTCAAGCCATCCTAGGTGTATCTGACTTTATTCTTTCAGACGAATACAATCGGAGTTATATTTTAAAAAAGCTTTTATAATAGCAGTGAACGGTGGTCGAGATTTTTAAATTTCAATAAAGTGCATCCATCCATCCATCATAAAAAGCATTCCACACAGCACAGGGGCATTAATAAAGGCCTCCTGAAGTTAATCGATGTATATGTGAAAGAAAAATATCCATATTTAAAACTTTATAAACCATAAATTCTAGTTTCTGCTATCTGTAGTACTCATGTACACAATAGAGTGGCGCCAGCAGGTGATGTAGGACCAGCCTGGTCTCAGGTTTATACGTAGGTATTAGTAACATTTACAAGCACAAAACCTACATTTTTGTACGTTTTCATTCATGCTAAAACGTACAATTTAGACGTATTTCAACGTTTAAAACGTACAAATCGCTACGTATTTTTATAAAAAATATGTATGTATCTTTTATATCATTTAGATATTCGTATCAATGCATTTTTATCATTTTATCAATAAGCGATTTCGATTTTTAGACCCCTTAACCTGCCCCCAAACCTTTAACCTGCCCCCAAACCTACCCATTTTATAGCGAATATGCATTTTTATCATTTTATCAATAAGCAATTTCGATTTTTAGACCCCTTAACCTACCCATTCTATAGCGATAAAGGATATAAAACGCAAATTACCGAAATACGCAGGAAAATACAAAATTTTTAAACAATATATCATTACAATATATTTACAGTCGCTAATTCCACTCCTACCTATAAGCCTAAACATTTCTGTACAGTATAAGAAAAACATGACAGATAAATGCAATTAACGTTACAATCATTTATTTATTGCAAAAATGTCAAAAGCAGTACTAAAAGTAATCTTTTGGTGTATTTTATAGTTATATTTTCAGTCACAGCATGTGGAAAAAACACCTTTTGTGGCCCATGGCAATCAAAGTAAACATTACATGACAAGTAAAGGTTAAACGATTGCAGAAATTGTATTTATTTTAAGGTTTAAAGTGAAGTCGTGTTTAACATTATGTAGGCATATTCTTGGAAACGAGCTGGCAACAGAAATCACAACAAAACGAAATGTTATCATTTCATAAGTAAACGAGTAAACAATTTAATAATGCAATTGAAAACAAGGTACTTCATATGACAACTAAAAACTAATAAAATTAATGCTGCGATTTCAATATTCACAAGGAGTCATTTTTAGGTGTCGTCAATACGTCAGTTTTGTACGTTTAAATGCTGAAAATACGTCAGTATTGTACGTTTTAGTGCCTGTAAAAACGTACAATAAAAAAGTAAATGTACGTTTTATAGAAGCACATTTTACGTAAAATACATACGAATTATCATGAGATCACGTTGGTAGGACATAGGCGTAACATAAGCTCTGGTGAGAATATGCTAGTCTCGCGAGAACCAAGTTTTGTTCACAACAAAGGAAAACCAGTCTCCTCTTGGATTATATCAAAATCCTCCTGCCTTTACAAATCCTCATTTTGTACTTCTAATTTGTGACCGGTGTTTTGTTTTGCTCTGTCCACTGCACTTCTGCGTTCGTCATTATTCGCCTACGTCCTACGTCATCTGCAGGAACTCCACTTTCTAGTGAACGTACGTACAACAGTTATGGAAGCTAGAGATTACGGTTTATAAAGTTTCTAACCAAAATGCATCGATATGCTTCAGAAGGCCTTTATTAACCTCCTGGAGCCATGTGGAGCACTTTTTATGATGGATTTATGCACCTTTTGTTGGACCCCCCCCTCCCAAATTAATTTGCATTCTGCTTCCCTAGATATGTACTATTTGCTGCCTTAAAAATCTGGAAAGGAATAAGAATTTAAAAGGCATTCTCATATAGCTAAAACGGTACCTTTATTGTTGGAGCAGAGCATGATGTGTTGGTCTGAGGGCTTGGCAATCCAGCAGGTGTTTTGTCTGTCAGTGTCGACAGGTCCAGATTCAGATCCGATATGGATTCATAAATATTTTCAGAGTCTGGTGATGGCAGTGGTTCTGAGCTAGAGCTTTCACTTTCTGGCTCTTTTGGGGATTCCAGCTCGGGAGACTTCCTGTGACGTTTAGTCTCGTTTAGGTTCTTGCTGACGGGGAGCTCCACAGGTTTGACAGGGATAGGTTTATGGAGAGGGTCAGCTGGGCTGAAGCTAGGCACTCGAAACTTATCAGGCACCGTTTCAATGCAAGAGCCATACAGCAGATTGGTTGCTTGACTCATCCTCTTCTTCTGATGCGATGAGTCTGAGGCAGAGACCGTGTTCAGGGAGATGAGGGAGTCTGAAGGTCTGCCATGTTTGTAAGAAGGGGGCTCGTGTAAATCCAAAGGAACTCCAAATGTAGACATGCGGTTTTCTGTCTTGTGGTAATTACCTTTGGAGCGAAGTCTAATTGTCACCTCATCGGATTTGCGGGCCTCTGTGATGTCAGGCACCACAGGCTTCACAGCGGGGCCTGGAGGCTCTCTGAAGTCTAGAGGTGAAGGGATGTTGGGTGGAAGCTCCTTGACATATTTAGCAGGGATATAAAATGGCTTGGCTTGTTCATCTTTGCAAACATGCCACCAGTGATCGTTTGTTTTGGCCAGAAGGATGTAGCGCTCGTTGGGTTTAATGGACACCTTGTGACCATCCCGACCCTCGTATTCATATTCAAACTCTACCAGTACCAGGCCCAGACTGTTTAAGGACGTCATCTTACCCGTCTCACCTATTCACCCCTTGAGGGAATCAAGCTGGAATCAAGGCTCAGGAAAGGCCCTCCTGTGGGTAGAAAACAAATGAGAGGATTATAAAAAGCAATTTGAGCAGAAGACACGGATTACTGTTTATTTGCTGCCTCACATTTGAGTCATGAGCAAAGGGCACCTGCTGTATAAATGCAAAAACAACAGCACTTTGGCTGAACTTTCTACAGGTCCAGCTATTCAGACTTTGCCCAACAAGCCTGATTCTATCAAAATGAGATCGTGCTGCTCCTTGCACAATGGTATATCTAAAGTTGTATGAACTGTCATACATAGTAGAAACAAAGTACACTAGAAATTGCTAGTAAAATTCACAAATACAAAGAAACGGTACTGTTTTTTAAAAACTTTTCACCATAGGACTGTGTCCAAAAAATATATATAAAAAATTGAAACGGTCTGTTGCAAAATTGTATTGCCATGGTGAAGTTGCTGCTAATTCTAATGAAGCACAGTATTTCATTGCATCGGTACCACATTCATTTTAAGTCAACAGTGGAGATCTCTAACCTACACCTTTTGTCAACAGCTGATGTTTAACCTAAGAGAATTAAGGCAGGCAACTGTGATATAGTGCGCTGATATGGACCAATAGCTGAGGTTAAATGCCCCAGTTCTGATCAGTGACCTGAAGCAACCAATCAAGCATGACCTCCACAGACTCTCAAGAAAGATCAGAGCAACTTTTTTGGAATGTAATAGTAATTCATATCGCATTATAATTACATTCATTGTAATTAATTTTATATAGATGTTAACTTATTAGTATTACATGAATTAATAGTATTACATCTATATAATGTATATGTGTCTAGATGATTATATTAATTGCCAGTTTATCTGTTTACAGAGTACTCAAAGTACTTAAAGAGATTCACCCTTGACGCAACAGCGGTTTAATGTTTGCTCAGCGACCTCTATCACTTGGTAATCTTTGGTATGTGGTTTGACTACTGCCTGTAAAGGAAAGGAAGTTGACTGTAATACGAAAGACAGATAACAGTATAGTGTCAGTAATCAAAGTGCTATTTGGAATCAGCTGCCAGCAATTTATGTAAAAAAATTGGATCTGAGATATAGACACACAGGATATTATGTCACTGACATTTTAAAGAACATTGATTGATCTGATTGCCAAAGCACTGGAGATGTGATGCATTGTGTCAGTTCTAATGTAAATATTACATTGCTGCACCTTTGTTTTTTATTATCTGATGACCACTATTTCACTTGATCTTTTTAAAAGTCTGGTTTTCATGGTGGCTGTTTTTAAAAGACTTCCTTCCTCTTGCATGTCTAATACAAAGAGAGAGAGAAAGGAAGACATGCTGCACTGTCAGCAACAAAAATTTGCTTTCTACTGATTTGAGATGTGTGTGTTCCAGTTATATCTGTGGTCATATAAGTTTATACTTGGTTGTATAAATAAATGTGAAACTTCAGAACTTGATCAGGAGGTTCTTGTCATGCTAAGATGTCAAGTCCCTCAACCCCAATGTGCCGTGTTCCTTTTAAACATCCCGTGTGTAGTAGTTGTTTGAAGCTGTGTCAAATCAAAGCAAGCTTGCTTCTTCAATCAAACAATTCTCCAAGGATCTTAAATGCAATTCTTTTATGTCTAGTCACAGCACTTATTTCCATGGACTAGATGCATATGCTCCGTGGCTCTTTCAACAGATGAGCAGCATTTCAGATGCAGAAATAGCCCTATATAAATGGTTTGTAAATAATTATTTTAATATTATACAAATAATGTATTAAATACATTGAGTATTTGCTTTTGTTTAATCACTTAACATAGATGTAAGCTAACAGTAAAAGGGCATTTCTCAAGAATTTCTTGTCAGACCTGGGCCCTCATTTATCAACAATGCGTAGAAAAGTTTCTATATTTTGTCCTATGAATGAAATTTAGAATGTAAGTACAAAAAAATCCATATTTATCAAACATGCATACATGGTTCTTATGCCGAGTTAACACTGCATGATTTTAGCCCGATTTTTCACTCGCCAACAGGTTTTGCGAAATCGGAGGCAAATCGATGCTCGTTCACGCCAGTGTGAATTATCAAAGACACGATCTGAGAGAATCGCCGACGCCCGTGAAATATTTGGCATGCTAAATATCTGGAGCTGTCAGCAATTCACAATCACGCTGTGTGCAATGAGTTCTGACTGAACAACACAATCGGCGAATGACCTACAGCCAATGAGAGACCAAGATACAGGGGGCAGCGGGAAGTTCGGGGAGTTATATGAAACGTAGTTTGCGGACCAGTGTTGCCAAATCCGTGATTGCCGCCGGTTATTTTTCATGTCATTAGGTTGAAGCGACCCCAATAACGTGATATTTAGGCCCTGGAATGTGAATTGTACCAGGAGAACCCCGCCAAAAAAATAGTATTTTGCGATTCTTCCTATTATAAAGTCATGCAGTGTGTAACCTCCGGTCGTCGTTCCATCGTGCAGTGTGAACACAGCAACAACTGAATGCTACCCCAGATAGTCATGCAGTGTGAACACAGCAACAACTGAATGCTACCCCAGATAGTCATGCAGTGTGAACACAGCAACAACTGAATGCTACCCCAGATAGTCGTGCAGTGTGAAAACAACAGTGATGCGACGTCTTTGAAAATCGTGCAGTGTGAACTCGGCATTAATAATATTAATAACAAAAAAGGCTTATCTTAGTATTTTTGTCTTGTTTCTAGTTAAAATATATAAAAATTCTTAAATCAAGATGCATTTACTATATAAGCAAAAAGATTTTGCAAATTTAGTATTGTGGAAAAAAAATCTAAATTAAGTGCATTTTGCTTAAAATAAGTAAAATTACGTATCTGCCTGTGGGGTAAGAAAAATAATCTTGTTTTAAGAGGATTTTACTTGTTTTAAGCAAAATTCACTGTACTTTTTAGACTAAATATCTTATTTCTCTTTGCTTATCTAGTAAATGCATCTTTATTTAAGAATTTTTAGATCTTTTGACAAGAAATGACAAAATAAACCTTTTTTTGCAGTGTGTCTTTTATTGCTTTTTACACCAATTATGCAAATGTCTAGCTTGAACTATGAATTTATAAACTGAGTATTTGCAATTAAAGGACATAGGAAACACGCAGCTGCACTTTCTTTTTGTAGTATCGCCATTCTACCGCTAGATTCTCTGCGTAAGCATGCTCAGAGTTGTGCTTATATTTACACACATTCCTACGTATAAGTACAAGTTGATACACTTTGCATGAAATTGTTCTTATGCACTCATTACGCACACATCTGTGCGTACGCACTGTTGATAAATGAGGCCCCAGATGTCTTTATCTTATGAGAGTGAGTGACAGATAGAAGTAGTTGGGATTTTAAAGTTTTTTTGTTGTTTTTTTGTTTAAAATGCTATGATGTTTGTGATGGATACATTTGTATTTAGTTTATGCATTTCATCATTCAAATTCCAACTTCATATGTGACAGTTCAGTTCATATTCCAACTCATGAATTAAAAGGAAACCAATTTTCAAATTTACAATGTCCAAGAAACTCTCAAAAGTTAATTTGTTAGATATGTAAAGCACTCTTTAGTCTCTATGTGAGCAGTTTGCACCCTTACAGCCACTATAATGTAAATTGAAACAATTATATTTTACGAACTGATTTGTCATTGATGTGTCACAGAAAGATGAATTTAATAACTACTTTAACAGATCCTGCATCACACCATTGGAAACTGGAAATCGATTGCCTTACAATGAAAAAATAAGGCAAAATCATGTTTGGCTCTTAGCCATATGAAAGGAGAAAAATCTGTAGTCTGTAGTAGACTTTATCAGCCTCTTGCCAAAACAACATCAGCTGCTGTTTTTTAACAAGTCAAGACAAGTGTTCTGAGAGTCAGACGAGACGAAGAAACACCACCCTTGCACATTTTACCAAGAGAGTTTGTAGACAAACACAGCAGTCTTTTCTTAAATAGGGAAGTAAACAGAAGGCCAGACCACCTTCTCGCTTCATAAACCAAGGGGTGGCAATGGATCGAAAGGAGGCCTTGTGGTCTACCAAAAGACATTGCATAATCCAAGAAGGAAGTGGCCAAAATCACCGTTATATATTTGATTCCGAGAACACATCTTCTCCATACTGATTTGCAGTTACTGTATGTCAACTTAGATCTCAAACTGGTTACTTAATGTATTTCACAAACAGTTCAGCTTTGAAACGGGGAGCCAGAACCTGTTTGACAACTTTTGAGCCAGGAGTTGAACAGCAGCGGAGCAAAAATGAGAGAAACATCAATGCGTGATTCATCATGTTGGAGGAGTTTAAAAAGAAATCACCTTGGAATCTGCTCAAGCTGTATTCAGGGGGGGGGGGGTCCTTCCAGTTGAAAACGGCTGTTAGCGTAGAACAATTGGAGGAGGCCGTTCCCATTTAGACACTGTTTAAACACGGAAACTCCTTGTTTTTCTCTAGCCTGGCTTGCTTTGACCTTGATGTGCTGTCTGGTTCTCTTACAGGATGTTCACGGCGGGGGAAAATGGGTCTTTATGTGATGTGTTCACTCACCCCAGCAAACGGTCATTTTTAGAATTAGATTTAGGGCTGTCCTAACCACTTCATATTATCTCCTGTCACATGTAGTCAGCCCAAGGTCTTCAGCATCCCTAATATGTTTTGAATAGTCTTTTTATGTCTTTCATATAGCCTGTCAGGTATACAGAACAAAGAAATACAAGAACAGGAAATTCTATGCTAAAAGCTGTTTTCCCTTCCTTTTCCTTGTTGCATATGTAATGTTAAAAGAATTGTTCAACCATATAGTTAACGATTTGTGTGATGTACAGACTAGCTGGAATATACACTACATTTACATTTAATCATTTAGCAGACGCTTTTATCCAAAGCGACTTACAAATGAGGAGAGCAATAGAAGCAATCAGACCAATGAGAGAGCAACTGTATACAAGTGCTGTGACAAGTCACAAGTCTCAGTTAGTCTAGCACAGTACACATAAGCTAGGGTTTTCTATTTAGAATAGAATAGAATAGAATAGAATAGGCAAGTGCTAGTATTAATTGGTCAAGTGCTGGAGAAAAAGATATGTCTTTAGTGTCTTTTTTTTTTTTTTTAAATGGCTAAAGACTCAGCTGCTCAAATTGAGATAGGCAGGTAATTCCGCCACACTCTTAAAAATAAAGGTGCTTAAAAGGTTCTTCACAGCGATGCCATAGAAGAACCATTTTTGGTTCCACAAAGAACCATTCAGTCAAAGTTTTTTTAAAGAACCATCTCTTCCTTACCTTTTTATCAAGTCGTGGCCTAATGGTTAGAGAATCGGACTCGTAACCCAAGGTTGTGGGTTCGAGTCTCGTACCGGCAGGGATTGTAGGTGGGGGGAGTGAATGTACAGCGCTCTCGCCCACCTTCAATACCACGACTGAGGTGTCCTTGAGCAAGGCACCGAACCCCCAACTGTTCCCCGGGCATAAATGGCTGCCCACTGCTCCGGGTGTGTGTTCACGGTGTGTGTGTGTTCACGGTGTGTGTGTGTGTTCACTGCTGTGTGTGTGCACTTTGGATGGGATAAATGCAGAGCACTAATTTCGAGTATGGGTCACCATACTTGGCCACATGTCACGTCACTTATTATTATTTTTTTATAATCTGAAGAACCTTCTTTCGCCACAAAGAACCTTTTGTGAAACAAAGAGGTTCTAAAGATGTTAAAGGTTCTTTATGGAACAATTTAGACAAAAAGGTTCTTCTATGGCATCATGAAGCACCTTAATTTTTAAGAGCAGCTGGGAAAAGTCCAGGAAAAGGTCAGTTTTGTGCCTCTTTGCATGGCACCACAAGGCAAGCTTCTGGAGGGTGCATAAGTTTGAACTAGCGAGTTTTGGTATATTGGTGCAGCGCACCTTTTGCCCCCATTTTCACCCAATTTACAGTTTGGATAAGTTGACACTAGTTGCAGAAAATCAGAGCCAGTCTGCAGATTTGAGTTGACAAATTACATAGACAGTTATGTCGTGCATGATGGTCACATAGTTTTTCAAGTCTGATTCCATCCAGTCTGAGGATTTTAAACATGTTTGATATTTTCAGACGATTTCAGAAAATGTTTTCATTAGTCACGCGTCGCCTAGCAACATTGCGCACATTTCGGTGTGAGTTTGTTGTGATCGGAAGGACTTTAAAGTCTGGTAGTGAAAGATTCTCAGTCGTTTAATGTGTATGATGGCCAGTTTTTCTCTCTTGACTATTTACAAAGTTGGCGTTGCCTAACGTTTTAAAATCTGTTCAGATTTTAAAAGTCGTGTAGTGTATTCCAGCCTTAACTTGTTTTTTGTTGAAAATGATCGAATCTAATTTGTGCATGTGGGCATTCAAACATGCACCAGGTTTGATGTCAGTGATCTCCAACTTCATTGGAGTTCAACGTGATGGAAATCAACAAGATGAAAGCGGAGGAGATATTCAGCAACAAACAACTTTTCACTTAAAAATAAAGGTTCCAAAAAGGGGGTTTTGCAGTGATGCCTTAGAAGAACCATTTTAGGTTCCCACAAAATGTTCTTATTGTGAAGAAAATTCAAATAATCTAAAGAACCTTTTGTGCATTGAAAAGGTTCCATGGATGTTAAAGGTTCTTCATGGGACTATTGATGCCAATAAGGAACCTTTATTTTTTGGTCGATTCATGTATAGCTAGTAACAAGGCACCGAACCCCCAACTGTTCCCCGGGCATAAATGGCTGCCCACTGCTCCGGGTGTGTGTTCACGGTGTGTGTGTGTTCACGGTGTGTGTGTGTGTTCACTGCTGTGTGTGTGCACTTTGGATGGGATAAATGCAGAGCACTAATTTCGAGTATGGGTCACCATACTTGGCCACATGTCACGTCACTTATTATTATTTTTTTATAATCTGAAGAACCTTCTTTCGCCACAAAGAACCTTTTGTGAAACAAAGAGGTTCTAAAGATGTTAAAGGTTCTTTATGGAACAATTTAGACAAAAAGGTTCTTCTATGGCATCATGAAGCACCTTAATTTTTAAGAGCAGCTGGGAAAAGTCCAGGAAAAGGTCAGTTTTGTGCCTCTTTGCATGGCACCACAAGGCAAGCTTCTGGAGGGTGCATAAGTTTGAACTAGCGAGTTTTGGTATATTGGTGCAGCGCACCTTTTGCCCCCATTTTCACCCAATTTACAGTTTGGATAAGTTGACACTAGTTGCAGAAAATCAGAGCCAGTCTGCAGATTTGAGTTGACAAATTACATAGACAGTTATGTCGTGCATGATGGTCACATAGTTTTTCAAGTCTGATTCCATCCAGTCTGAGGATTTTAAACATGTTTGATATTTTCAGACGATTTCAGAAAATGTTTTCATTAGTCACGCGTCGCCTAGCAACATTGCGCACATTTCGGTGTGAGTTTGTTGTGATCGGAAGGACTTTAAAGTCTGGTAGTGAAAGATTCTCAGTCGTTTAATGTGTATGATGGCCAGTTTTTCTCTCTTGACTATTTACAAAGTTGGCGTTGCCTAACGTTTTAAAATCTGTTCAGATTTTAAAAGTCGTGTAGTGTATTCCAGCCTTATCTTGTTTTTTGTTGAAAATGATCGAATCTAATTTGTGCATGTGGGCATTCAAACATGCACCAGGTTTGATGTCAGTGATCTCCAACTTCATTGGAGTTCAACGTGATGGAAATCAACAAGATGAAAGCGGAGGAGATATTCAGCAACAAACAACTTTTCACTTAAAAATAAAGGTTCCAAAAAGGGGGTTTTGCAGTGATGCCTTAGAAGAACCATTTTAGGTTCCCACAAAATGTTCTTATTGTGAAGAAAATTCAAATAATCTAAAGAACCTTTTGTGCATTGAAAAGGTTCCATGGATGTTAAAGGTTCTTCATGGGACTATTGATGCCAATAAGGAACCTTTATTTTTTGGTCGATTCATGTATAGCTAGTAAAATTTCAGAAGACTTGGAATATAATGAATAATTCATATGGACTGGACTACTTTTTTACAATGCTTTATCAATCTATTCGGGCTACTAATCTATCTGCTGTTGTTGTAAGGAAAAGAAAAGCCTGGACATTCTGTCTCACATCACCTTTTGTGTCCCATGAAAGGAAGAACGGTGAGTAAATGACAGAATTTTCTAAAGTTTACCAGTTGGCCAATCTCAGATGTGTACAGTTAAAATGTTCAAATAAAACCTGCCGTTCATTCAGATTCTAACCCACACAAAGCAATGGCCTCAGAAAGTCAGAAGGGTTATTCGTTATTCTGAGATGTGCGCAAAGCGAAGACCTGAGGGAGAAATGAGATTCTCCTCTGAATGTGCAGTGTACTCAGATAACAGTACCAGATCTGCGGTGTTCCAGTTTTCCTCCACACCCACACCCACCAGCCCAGTCACCTCAGGAATGCAGAAAGAGCACTCTTACTCACTGTGCAGTTTACACAACAACAACAAAAAATGTCTAAAACATATCCTCTCAAAGGGAATACCTTGTTTGTACACACTTAAAATAGATTAAGAATGCATACAAAATGATTCTTATCTTTCGTCACAGGTTCCATTGAGCATATGAAGCTGAATACAGGCATCACAATATCTTAAATCTTCATTTCACGGTGATAGTGGTGATCAATTTCTGACATCGGCGCATAACAAAACTCAAACATAAAGTGACAAAAAAATCAAGAGTTGCTTACAGTATGCACTGATTTACTGGTCTCACATCACAGTGTAAGATGGCTCACTTCGCCTTTTCTTTGTAAACAGCAACAAGCTGCTATTTATGTGCACAGATAGCCATTTGTCATGCAACACGACAGGAAAAAGGAAGGTAGCTGTTAGAGGTATCTCTAACTTTAAGGAAAAGTCATAAGGCTAAAAATAAAATGCAAAGTACCTCAAGACAGAATGAATATTATGTACAACTCAAGTAACCAAATTAGTACTCAGAAGTTAGAAGAAGTTTACCTGCTGAGGCAGGATCGACACACCATCTTCTCCACACCTTTGTTTCTCTCTCTTCTTCTTCTTCAAGTTACATTTGTAAGATCTGTCTCCTGTTGGTCTTCTTTTTTCTTTAAAATCTCTTTTCCTTCCTCAGTCCGCCTAATGTCTTAGACAGGCTTCAGTCTTTCGCCACCACCGCTCTGTCGTTCCACCTATAGTTCAAAGTTCCAGCTCTGACAGTTGTTGCTCAGGGCCAGTGTGTGTCCGTGTGTGTGTGTGTGTGTGTGTGTGTGTGTGTGTATTGTGGGCGGGTGTGTATTCACGCTAGAGCTTTGTGCCAGTTTCAGCTTGCCTGCCTCCTCTGTCTGCATTCATTTCCTGTTCCAGCACACACATCACAGCTTCTGAAGAGTGAGACAGTTAGCAACAGGAAGAGAGAGAGAAAGAGAGATGAGGGTATGGTTCAACTGAATCATTAGGAAGAAAATCCTCACAAAATTATTAACCAATTGCTATTCCACAAAAGCAATAAAGCATTACTATGTTAACTCTGACAAGATGATGTTCCTTATCAAATAGGTGCATCTGTCTCATTTTCTGCAATGTTACCATGTGGTTCAAGCTGTGTTGCGCCCCATCAACAAATCAGGTCACCGGAAAGTTGGTGGGTGAAATCAATTAACAAAACCAGCAGATAGGAACACATGACTGAGACTACAACTGACAGGAACTTGCAAATAGTTTTCTCACCTGCAACAAGAAAGTTCTGCTTTCATCGCTGTTCACTCACGTGAGTACACATTTCTTGACATCTTTCCGGTCCTAGTGAGCAGTAAAAAGGTATCTTTAGGCTAGACTAAATCTCAGAGAGATTCCCTTTAGTGTTCTGCGCCACTGAATGAAAAAACATCAACTATATTGCAAAAGCTCTCCATGCAGTTTCTATGAATAACACCCAGTGGTTGATTCACACCCATTTGGGCTCTGGTGGTTTCTTCCCTCCCTTCCAGTTTGCACAACCTCTGATCACTTTTAGGTTGCACAAAACTGAACTACCACTGAATATAATTACTAAGAAATCTCGTACTGAGCACTGAGGGTTAAACAGGAACCAAGAGGTTAGTAATCACCCTCAGATTTGTGAGCAGGACAACATGCCCCACCCCAGAAAAAAAGCAAGCATGTTTTCTGGGTGGGGCAAGAGAAGATTTACTGATGCCTTTGGACTCTGTACTCTCAGTGATGTTCCATTTGGGCATGCTCTTGGAATGCTGTCCTGGAATAAAAGGTTAATATTACATTACATTCATATTTTTAGGATAAAGAGATGAATCAGCTGCAGTTAGGTCATGAAATAATGTTCTAGTTACTCATCGTTTAGTGCACACATAATGGACAGTTTAACGTCACATGGTGCATTTAGCATGGTTGTAAACATGGAGTGTGTCGAATGCTACATCAACGGCTATGCTTGCTATAGTTTCCTCTGATTTTTTTGTTCAAAATGATGTACTGCTTGTGCAACACTTTTCTAAATGGATTTCCTTTTATAAATTTGCTAGTACGTAATACTTAAGGTCCTGTTTGTGCAACTTTTCTAAATTTTATCACCTAAATGAGCAAAATGATTTGCAGACAGAGCGTTTCCGACTGGGCCTCTCCTCTGACACATTTTTACAGAGCTTAAGGGTTAAGGCGGTCACTTTGTCGCTAAGACAGTTTTGATTTAGTAACGTCTGTCAAATAGTTGGTAAATTTTCTATTCCTCGGAAATAACTGTGAGACATCATTTGTGTCACGTGGGAAAGCAGTAATTGTTTTTCTATTCAAAACTGATACAACAATTTAAACTAAAATAATGTTCTTTATCAAAATGTATTATTATAAAATGTAGGCAATTTTTATACACTATTATTACAATTACGAATAACCATATTTAAAAAAAAAAAACATTTACAAAACAGCTAGAAAACCATAATTTTATTGGAAAGTGCTCAGTGATATATTTGACACTGTCCCCGTCGAGGCCTACAAACATTCACATGTCTGTCTTTCTGTCTCCCTGCAGTCCTCCCTCTTCCTCATCCTCTGGAAGGAAACCCCCTCTTTCCTGTTCAGCAAGCCAGCCACATAAAGTTTCCTCTTCTCAAACTATCTCATTTCCCGCGGAGGATCCACATGTCCTTGCCCCAATCACACTCTGGAGTAGGGGACAGGTAGCGTGGTTGCGAGTATGTCAATGTATGAGTTTTGGACTGTGCCTATGTTATGACTGAGACATACAGGCACATCACAAAGGTACTGTAGGTGTGTGCAACTCTGCTGAACTCTTGAACAAGTATGAAAATGCAGGGGCATCGCTGGGGGGGGGGATTTCTGGACTCCTTTTTAATGGTTAAATTAAATTTTATTAATCAAAAAGCATGTCTAATTAATTAAAATCATGAAACTTAAACAATTTAACATTAATTTATTAAAAGTTTAACAAACTTTTGTGAATACACAGAGGCATTGTTGTGTTAGAATAGAAGAGGGTCCTGTTGAAACTGTTGCTATAAAATTAGAAGTACACAATTCCCTAGAATATAATTTAAACATTAAGGTTGGTACTCGTGGAAATTACTAAAGTAGTCAAACCTGTTCATTAGAATAGTGTATGTTTGGTGCGGTAGGGGGGCCCAACCTCATTCTTTCATAGGGCCCGAAATTGCTAGCGGCGCCCCTGTGAACATGTCTCAGTAATTTGTATCTGTGAATACCATTTTTTGTTCATACCATTTTTTGTTCACTTGAGGTAGAATGGCAGATTGAATGCAGACTGATTTTGTAATCTAGCAAAACAACATTTTTCAGGCTGAAGTATGGCTACCTTTTGCCCCTCAGTCGACTGCACAAACTACACCAAGCAAACGGTGCACGAGATAAACTTTTACGCTAAACTTGTTTCTTATTTGTGACCCTGAACCACAAAACAAGTCTTAAGTGTCAGTTTTTCGAAATTGAGATTTATACATCATCCGAAAGCTGAATAAATAAGCTTTCCATTGATGTATGGTTTGTTAGAACATGGCCGAGATACAACTATTTGAAAATCTGGAATCTGAGGGTGCAAAAAAATCCAAATATTGAGAAAATCGCCTTTAAAGTTGTCCAAATAAAGTCCTTAGCAATGCATATTACTAATCAAAACTTCAGTTTTGATATATTTACCGTATAGGAAATTTACAAAATATCTTCATGGAACATGATCTTTACTTAATATCCTAATGATTTTTTGGCATAAAAGAAAAATCGATAATTTTGACCCATACAATGTGTTTTTGGCTATTGCTACAAATATACCCCAGCAATTTAAGACTGGTTTTGTGGTCCAGGGTAACATTTGTCAATTTATATCAAGCTATACAGTGTTCCAGGACAGTTAATACAAAAGAGAAATAGCCTAGGTGTAGATAGGGGTTATGTAACTACCTAAATAAAACACGGTTTCTCAAACCTTGTAGGCCTATGTAAAATGTAAAGGCAATAATCTGACAGTTATTGTTTAATCAAGACAGCGATTTTACGCTGCCACCTACCGACTGAGCTTTGCAATAACGTGGGGGTAATAAAAGGTAATGATTTTAGATATGATACATAAATGCTGAAATAGTGCTGTCAGAGTTCTACTTAGAATCAGGACGTAATTAAAACAAGCTGTATGTTTTGTATGTTTTCAGAGTGTATTGTATATATTGTTATTGGGTGTCGCTTCTAGGTCTGTGTTAAATAAAAACAGTTGCCTACATCCCATGGATTACCTTTGGTTTTATCACAATATTGGTATTTAAAGTATCATACAATTAATTATCATCTGTTAGATTTTGTAAAGATACTCGGCGTTACATTAAATATTAGAACATTTTAATTTGTAATTCATTATTAGTTTCAATGTTGCCATATAACACCATTTAATAGCTTATCATATTGAGGCCAACATTTCTTCATACATTATTTCTTATTATGTATTTTGAATATTATTAGAAAGAGCAACAATGTTTTGGCCCTTCAAGATGAATGGTACTTTTTTTGTTTGTTTTGTTTTCTAAATATAGCATAAGAATCGTTGATTGGGATTTTGGAAAGAATTTCTAGACAGGACAACGAAAGATACAAGTAATTAACTAATTTTCCTTTGAACTGGAAAACAGTTTGCTTACATTTTCCATTTTCACTGGTATTTTATTTTATTTCTTTTTCATGTAGACAATATTTCTTCTCGCCTTTAGCCTGTAGCTACTATTTATCGATTTATTTAGGCCTATATGTCATTTTCGGTAGTAATTGCGTGGCTCGTGTGGAAATGCTAAAGGAATTCTACGGGAGAGCGTATACTGGTCATTATGGAAACTGAAAGTGAAATGCTCTGTGTGTAAACAGTGCCCTGTAACAATGAGGAATTACCACCCGCTCCAGTTGTGTCATCACTTCGCACAAACCGGTTGATGATTTCATTCTAAACAAAAACACATCCAGCTGTTTTTAAATCGTGCTTTAAAATGCATTTTTGCGCATAGGCTATAACGCAAACAGAAAGACAGAACAAAAGATAGGCTACAGATAACGTAAATAATAGGTTGTAAAAATTAATAATTAATAATATTCATTTGTCTCGTAAGTATTGACATCACACTTCTTATGATGTCATTGCGTCTACATAGTGATCGTGGATGAAAGTCCCAGTTTGACTCTCATTCACTGTGTTTTCAAGATGAGTAATCTGAGCTAGTGCCATCCTATCCATCTCATTGCGTTTTCAATGTGAGAAAAAGAACGCCCACCGGGACCAACAGAAGCACGTGATTCTTTCATTTTCTCCTTCAGAAACTTCCAATTGTAATACCGCTGGGCTTCCCGAACTGTCACCTGCTGAAGTGAATGGAAATTCAGTAGGGTAATTTCTTTCTTTGGAGAGCATTATATAGCCAGAGCCTTTGCCATAAGATAGTATCCATATCCTAGTAGTCATCTCGTTTGAATAGTAGCTCTGCGCTGTCGCTGTCAATACAAAACCACAATGAGAACTTTTTTGTATTTTGTGTGGATTGTCATGTGTCCGTCCCTATTTGCAGAATCCTTTATTCAGGAGGAGAGAAGAGACATTTTTCAAACAATTAGACTTCTGCACGCACTGGTGAGACTTATCTAAACGAATCTAATCTAAACCGTCTGTCTGTCTGTTATTTAAAAATGTGTTAAGCACTCTACAACAGTGTGCTATGGAACATTCATCTATTAATAAATATTTACTATAGCCTAGATTCATTAGAGGAAAGTTGCTGGATTAACACAAGGTATCACGAATTGGCAAACAATTTTACATAGGTTCATTTTAAATTAGAACTATATTGCTGTTCGTAGTTAATTTTATTCATGTTAATTCATACAACTTGAATGTTAAAATATTCATATATAGGCCTACTCATAATGGTAGTGCCTAGAATTGTAAGCGTTACCTTATGATATTGTTCATTAAACCTTAATGGTTTAATATTGACAACAGCGTGGCCGCAATACGTAATAGCCTCTATGTATTTAATGGCTAAAAAACGTCAACATTTTTCTCTCTCTCTCAAAGGGCCATAAAGCATGTCCGGATGAAGTGGAGAAAGCGATGTCTGATCGGTTCACGAGTCTTCCCAAAAAGGTAGGCAACAATATAAAAAATACAGGACACAGAAATGTTGCGTTCTTTTTTTAGGTGCAGCCTCACTCAAATCTAAATGCTTGCTTTCAAGTGATTTCAAATAACTTGATTTGCTAGTTCAGGCGTGGCATTCTGTCATTCTGCAGTGTGGTTGATCTCCGGAAATATTTAGCACAGTTGGCGTTATACCGCTTTGTTTTTTTGGCACTGGATGTTTGATCTTTTTTTTCACTTTGACAGAAACAAGAAATATCTCAGGCGCTGAAGATATCCCATAACTCTATCTTTGAGCTCTTCAAGAAGAACAGGACCCACTGCCACTGGAAAAACAATGCATTCCAAGATCTAATGGAACACCTCCACCGACAAGCTAAATCACATTTCGTAAGTCAGCAGTTGGGCTGAGTCAGCATTCACTTTCATTATTTACAATTTTGGACGTTAATCGTTATCGTGTATCTAGGTCCCGGTGATGAGCTCTGCACATGAGACGTTGGTGGAGAACTTCAAGAAGCTCGATCAGTTTCTCACACAGCAGGTGAAAACTCGGCAAACGATATCAAAAAAAGAAAAAAGTTTAGAATGTGTTCATACCTTCATAATTCAAATCTACATTGATTAACTGTGTGACTTTTCTTTCCGACAGAATTTGAGCTGCTGCGCGTGGGAAACTGTGCGCCAGGACATTCTGGTCCTCATGGATCACTTCAGAAAAATGACAAGACCTAGAAGACACGTTTAATAAAGCGCATGCCGTAAATTAATGTGGTCCATTATTTATTAATACGCTAATTTTGTAGTTTTTATTTTGCAATTTTCATTTTCCATTGAAGTCGATATGGTAAAATGAATCAGTGAATTTCCAGATGAATGAATGTTAATATGCCGCTTTATTAACGGCTCTGGGCTTATGCTATTTATAAACACATTGATTAGAGAATAACTCATTTAGACTACACTAAAATGTTTACAATATGCAAACTTTTATTGTCTTTTTTTTATACAAACCACTGTTTATCCGGGAATGTGCTATTATTGATATGGAGGAATGTTTCGTTTACATGTTGATTGTAATGGATGTCTAAATGTCTTTCTAACAAATGTGTGGACACATGTGAATTTGTAACTTGACCAGTGTTGGCAAAAAATAAAGTATTTAAATATTTAAAATGTTTTTCAGGGTGGGTTTATTTTTTTTATAAGTTTGACCTATATATTTTGAAAGATTTCGGTATAGACATTATACTGGGAGAAAAAATATGAACTTGAAAACTTAGTCATCTTTTTATTTAACAAGATGTTTATTTAACTAACACACACACACACACACATATATATATATATATATATTTAAAATGCTATTTATTTGCTTCCCAACAATAATTTAAGCAGTGCACAAAACAATTAGGCTGTTAAAAAAAAGTAGCCTAATAAGAAGACTAAAAAATTTTTTTTATTATTTATTATTGTTGCTCAAATATTGTTTACATTACTTTGGGCTCTGACCTCATACAATATTCGACAGAAAAGGTCAAGGCGACAGCTGTGGTCGAAAGACATCAAACACGGGTATCGATGAGTGAACAATGAAACCCGGAGCCCACTCTCACGCAAAGGTTTTTTCCCTAACTTTCTATAATTCCTTCATTTTTAATATACCTAATACCGTAAACAAAATGTCTGATTTAAGGACTTTCTTCGCTGTTGCTTTTGCTCCGTGTCTCAAACTGCGATCAAAACATTAAACCTCTTTTAATCTGCTTTATTTCATGCGGCTCTTTATAAACACTTTATATAAACTGCAGCGTTGGCTAATCTTGCCATCTACAGGCAAATAGGTGCAACATCTTAAAAGTGCTTTAAGGTTATCATTAATTGATTAACGAACCAGAGAAAACCAGTGGCCCGAATATGTATTTCAAACAAACAAACAAACAAACAAACAAAACAAAAAAACAGAAATACACTGAACCTGAAGATCAAAGTTAGATTTTATTTATCGGAGTGCAAGAAGTCTCGATTTAAAGTAATAGTCACTTTTAGCTTTATTTGTTTAATTAAATGTGCACGCCTAACAACTGATTGTTTTATCAATTATGTATTTATTTTCAATTTTTCTTGTAATTGTCTTACCATTTCGTCAGTGCCATTTAGATGCAAGCTGGTCATTAGTTGGTTGACCAGCTTTTTCCAAAACACAGGATATCTATCTATCTATCTATCTATCTATCTATCTATCTATCTATCTATCTATCTATTATCTATCTCTCTATTTGCACAAGCTCGAAATTGGCTAGGCTACCCCTGTTCCAAAACATAGATATAGCTATAAATAGCATAACCTGGATTAATTTTGAATAATATATTATTTTCTAAGAAAATGCTACAACATATTTTAACCACAACAATAATTAATAATAATAATGACAATTATTTTGTAACAAAAAGATATGGTAACACTATTTTAAGGTGTCCTTGTTACACGTCACATGTACTTATTATAATAACAATAAATCATACATGTGCATGCAAGTAACCCTAATCCTAACCTTGACCATATAGTAAGTACATGTAGTTAATTAATATTTCTCAGTACTTAAGCCTAAATGTATAATTACACCGTAACAAGAACACCTTAAAAAAAAGTGTAGCCGCCTAACCAAAAATATATGTACAAAGATATGCTGGAAGTAAATATTATTTTGATAAACTGATGGTCAATGCCAGGTCATTTTTCTGGTGTAGTGACAAATGATGAGAAATTGCATTTCACTGCACCAAGAGAAAGTGCGGTGAACTCCAGTGAGAGCGATTGTACGAGCTTGCGTCAGCACGTTGCGTAAACAAAGCGTGAAGGCATATTACGTCTCAAACAGAAAGTGTTCTTCTGTACGCAACCCGCAGGTATAAACCCCTTCTCGTTTGGAAACGCCAGCGACCTTGAAATACTTTGGAATCGGGTAATTATTTTGAGCCGTGGGATTGCTTTAATTTACATTGAAGTTGCTTATAACATTAATTTGTGTATTAAACCTAATTTTGTGTGCGTTTTGCGCTGGTGTCTATAGTAGGCCTAGGCTAGGCTCAACTAAAGACGATTAAAGAGTAAACTATAACTAACCGATAAATTATTTTCTCTTCTTTTCTAAGTACAACATATATTGCTTTTAAAAGTATTTTTATTATTAATAGCGGAGCAGATGAGATATGTTGTTCTGTAGTCTATGGGCATTCGCCTGAATACAACTAGAAAGTGAAAGTAAGCCGGATAGTACCGACCTGCATAGTCTACTGCGTTTTCCCTTTCCATACACCTGAATAAAATCCAGTACACTTCACCATGTCCCTGCAACATTCTCTCGAGCGACACAGTAGAAAGCTACTGCACCTATACAAAGATGAAACAAACTCAAATGTGGACGTATATTTTTGTGATATTCTTAACTCTGCAGAGTCAGTGCTCCGCTTGCAGATGGCTCGGCCGATATGGGACGGTGAGCGCCGAGTCTCTGAAACTGCTTAGGGAAATGGTAAGTAGCCTACACTTTTAAAGCTTCATGATTTTTATTTTTTTTTGTAAATGTTCATCAGAAGACATTAGATTGCTGAGCAATACAACCACAGCCATTTTCTGCAAGGTCCTTATTAAGACACTCGAGTAGATAGGCTATTTAGGCTGTGCAACAGATTTATTGTTTTTGTACTGTCTAGTTGTTAATTCAACCTTACAGAATGATTCACGACTATTTGGAATACAGCAATAAACGTGTTGTACTTATTGAGGGATGTTGTCACGTTTAGTCTGATTCTTTCAGCGTTAAAAAAAAAACTGAAAAAGTGTCCATCATTATGTTACAACATCATTGCTTCTATCCATTATTTTCACATTCATTGTCAGAGTTTTCTTCATTAGTAATTAATTCAACGTGGGTGATTGACAAAGTGCAGGGAACTAATCAATGTTATCAATCAATTTTATTAAAATGATTTAAGTCAATTAAGGTTTTCATTTTTTGTACATTGATGTTATTAACTTTTTTTAAGGAAGTTTTTGTGCAGATGAATGAACAGCTAAATATGCAGCATAAGGAACATATTACAAACTACTCTGTTTTATAGGGTGGACCATATCCTGAGAGTATCAAGGTGCATTTTCCGGGGGCCCTGTACAACTTGATAGACAAAGCTGAGGTTTGTAAACTTTTCTCTGTGAACAAACATTTCATTCCATGAATAAAACTTATGCTATCAAAATAAATAGGGAAAATTAGATCAGAATTTCATTATGTGAAAATCTTATAACTTGTATACATCACAACAGTCTTTGTGTGGGACCAGTTACCTAAACATAGCATTATATCTCCTTACAGGTGGAAGACCAGGTGAAGTTTCTTGTCTCGACCTTAGATCATATCATCAGTCTCACGGATGCCTCAGAGCACATGAATTCAGTGCAATGGAGCCCAAAGACAGTGGAATATTTCCTAAAAGATCTGCACAGGCAGTCATCTGAGCTTAAAGAATGCGTAAGTCTTGTATGAAATAATCCTATATTATCATCAAAGGGATTGTCTTAATAGTAATAGACCATGAATTTAGATTGAATGATTCCACTCAGTCGTTTAACCTCAAAACTGTTATGACATTAATCATTATTAATCATTAACTTAATTGAATAAATGTGTTATATGAAATTCATGTTATTTTCTCATTGTTTATGTTTTGTTTACATTTGATCAGGTGGCCCAATACCAAAAGCCGTCGCAAAAGGAGTCTTACGAGATAAGGATAAAAAGGCACTTCAGGACTTTAAAGAAGATTTTAAAGAAAGAAGTAAGTTTGATTGCATAAAATGATATCACAGCTTGTTACATTGTTTGTATTGTTTGTGTTTTTATACCCTTAAATGTGTTGACTGATTTCTGTAATCAGCTTTATTTTTCTTAGTGCCTTAAGAAGCTTATTGTATTTGCACGTCTGCGATGTTAATGTTACTTTGTAAAGAGTAAAAGGAATTATTTTCTTGCATATAAAATGCAAAGTCAGTGATACATAGCTAAAGATCTTCCTTTTGTGTTTTAAGAAATATAGTGCTCAAGCATGGGGGCAGATCTGGAGAGCTGTGAGAACCCACCTTCAGAGGATGGACATCATCGCAGAGAACGCAAAAAAAAAGTTTCTGCAAAGAGTTTAAGAGACAATGACAGAAAAAGTCCTAATGACAGAAAAAATGTCTGACTTGTGACACATTCCATAGAAAAAAAAAAAACTGCCTTACAAACAAGAACTGAAAAAAAAGAATGCTATAAATGTATTTGTGTATTCGCATGTTTGTATTTATTTGCAATGAATGTAGCCTAGTCGCTTTATATTGACCAATGGGTAGTGCTTTAATACAGAGTTTACCTTATGTGTTTCCTATGAAAACTTGAAGTTATCAGATCAAACAAGCTAATGATGTTTCTTACAAAAACCTGTGAAAACATTTCTATTTGGTTTAGGTGAGAATAAGCCTCTTTGCCTAAACTATACTCAGATATTTTGCTAACAATATGAAAAAAACATGCTATGCATTTCAGATCATATGTATTAATTGTCAGTCGGCCATGTTGTGTTGCACATGCATGTTCGGTATGTTTCATAATTGTTTAAAGTATATCGAAATCTATTTATATATCTTTGTGCACAATTTTTATATCCCAGTATATTTATTGTTTTCATATTTAATATTATTTATAGTTATTTATTTGCTCTAATTGTCATAAAATGTTTTGTACTTTCAAATAAAAATGATTTATTGAAACTGCTTGAGGTGTTTACCATTGTTTACTAAATACATTAAACTTCCCCACACCAATACAGTTTACAGTTCTTTGTACTTATCTTACTTCGTCTATGGTTTTTCAGAGATTGTGAAATGTAAAGAAGTTTTTCTTTTTTTCTCTCTTTTTTTTTACACTTTATTTTAATGTGTCTTTGTTACAGTGTAATTATACATTTGCCGACTCGAGTAATATTAATTAACTACATGTACTTACTACTGTAGATGATTAGGGTTAATTGCATGTAATTGTGAATAATTTGTTGTTATTATAATAGTAAGTACATGTAACGTGTAACAATGACACCTTAAAATAAAGTGTTACCTTTTTTAAATGATTATTTACGGATATTTCAGTAATGCAAATGCTTCACTATAATGGATATCCCAAAGATGCTCTTCTCGATGGGAGGCGCCAAAGTCATATCTGGGCCATAACATTTCTTCTGTGAGCCATAAAGAAGATATTTGGGGGGGAAATGTCTCTGTTTTTGTCAATAGGCTACAGTTAAAGTTCCACACATTGGAACGAAATAAGCACTGTAGTAAAATGGTGACTGAATTCAATGACATTTTTGAGTGAACATTAAATTCAAGCTGTGGAGATATGAATAAAACGTTTCCCCCTTAGATATAGCCTTGAAGAACTGGCTGAGGTAACGCTGTTCTCTTAAGATTCATGAACGCTGAATGGCCGCTAACACCCTGAAGCTCACACCTCTGAAAACATTGAAGCAATTTTTCCAAATAGGCGCTATCTTCATTAATAAATAGAGTTTAAACAATTACATTCTCCCGCAAAAACTACACTTCTACACTGAGAAATGCTGCAAGCGGAGTGATACAAGCGGTGAAACGGTTCCATGGGAAAGACCTCTCAGCCAATCAGATTCGAGGATAATCCCTGATAACAACAGTCGTCATTAGCCATGCAGAATGAACACAATATTTAAGGCCTGAGCTTGCATCGTCAGTCACACTGCTGCTCACTTTGGCTAGTTTCATTAAAAGGCGACTGCGATCATCTTGCTCCTCAGATATCCACTGTAAATGAAACCAGAGGACTTCAGTATTAATAGCAGGCCTGCGGTAAAATTGTTGAAGCTGTCTTCAGCAATCGTTGCCACAACTATTGTTTTTACACTGCAATGAATTTAAGTTTGTGTTTTTTTCACTGTGATGAATTTAAGTTTAAGTTTGAATTTAAGACCATAAACAGGTAAGATTTTAAAACTTTCTTCTCAAATAACATTTTATGTCCTCATTAGTGAAAAGACTGTGCCGAAAATGTCCGTCTTGTCTGAACTTCTGGGCTAATTGTCTGAATGGGCTGTTCACACACACACACACACACACACACACTTGCCTTTGTGGTTTACGGGGACTAGGCGTAATAGGTTTTATACTGTAACTGTATTTTCTATCGCCCTACATCAACCCTACACCTAAACCTACCCTTTACAGAAAACTTAGAGCAATATTAGCATTTAAAAAAACACCGTTTTGTTTGTAAGCTTTTTGAATTATGGGAACATAGGCTGTGTCCATAAACCACCTTCACATTGTAATAATGAGGACAATGGAAGCAATCAAAATCAACAAAAGAGCAATGATATACAAGCGCTATAACAAGCGCCCTACATCAACCCTACACCTAAACCTACCCTTTACAGAAAACTACTGGCAATTTTTGCATTTCATAAAACACCGTTTTGTGTGTTTTTAAGTCAAGTCAAGTCAAGTCAAGTCAACTTTATTTATATAGCGCTTTTAACAATACTGTTTTTAAGCCTGTTGTTTTACGGGGACATAGGAAGTGTCCTCATAAACCATGTTTACGTTGTAGTACCCATGTCATTATACACATTTGTGTCACACACACACACACACACACACACACACACTTTCGAAGAATACAAGAAACATTGTACATAAGACCATGACGCCTTCAAAATTCCCTTCAAAGGTAATTTTAATTTTGGGAAAAGCCAGAAGTTGCCAAATCTGGGCTGTAGGGGTTGAGTCATCTGGGTGATTTGATGTTTTGCCAAAAAAACTTTGCACCAGACGTGATGCATGGGCGGGCACACTGTCGTGATGAAGCTGCCAATCACCAGTTGCCCACAGCTGCGGCTGTTTTAATCTTATTGCATAATTGCATCTTTATTTTTCATACTTTGCGGCCTGCCCTCGTGTATGTATATATGACTAACTTTTTTTGCTCATAGCCACTATGGCTAGTGGTTTTACAACGTTGTAGCTGCTCAACATTTCCACAATTTTGTTGTTGGGAAATTACATTTTAGATGATTAAATTTGGCTTTGGCGTGCTAAAATTACTTGAGCTATAGATTTAAATAGCCACTGTACACACCCAAATCAAGACAACACGAAATGTTTAGCACTAGGTCATTATCAAATATGTAACCTAGCTCTGATAAAGATCTGTGTAAAGCTATTGTTTAATGAAAACATGTCATCTCTTAAGACAAAAAAAAGAGAGAGTAGCTGCCTATTGCATATAATAAATGTGACGCAGGAGTGTGTAAGATTAATTGAAAAAATAAAGAGTGAAAGAAATATCTGCCAAGAGCAAAGAAGAACAAATTAATTTTGCCTTTCACGCTACATTCCACACATACCAGCCATTTTCAACCTGACTTCCTGACTGTCTTTTCTTTTTCTTTGTTTCCATATATTGACACTGTATCTTTAGGATTTTTTTTTTACACTTAAAATCCTATTTTAAGAACTGCACACAAAAAAACCCTATGAGCGGGACAGGGCAAATCTATGGTAACATATTAATTGTACCTTAAAATGATATGGGCTGCGTTTCCCGATAACGCTGTCTCTTAGCACGCTACGAAGACTCTAAATGTATGCCTTAACTAAAGGTGTACTATTTCTAGGCGTGTTTCCCGCACTATACCTTGGCTTAGGAGGTTGCTTAAGATATACCTTCACGTGGCGCTGAAGTGGTTGATATCGATGGCTCGAGAATCGATTATTCATTCTATGCACTGGCTTATTCACTAGTGTGTTCTTTATAAAATAAGTGTTGATTTTAAACAAAGACAAGGAACTCTTTCCTGTTAGAACGCAAGAAACTTGCGTGAAACTTTTACTTTCGCTTTGCAACATACATCACGTCAGGGAAGAAAACCAAGAAAGAAAAATATATGCCCAGTACACCTCCCAGTGGTCACCACATAAAATACAAGGGGAAAAACCTACAACGGGACACTGCTTAATAATTTAACAGCTTTTAACAAGAGAGAGAGAGAGAGAGAGAGATAACACCTTGGGCCTAAGTCCAACAGAAAAACATTGTGGTAAGAGTGCTTTCAAACAAGAAGCACTTCAGAAATAGTTAAAATTGCATTTATCAGGACTCGTGGGATCATAAAAAATAACCCAAATTTCAAACTAAATCCAACCCTGGATATTTTATATACTTTTGAAATAAGTTTGCGAACCCGCAACCTCATGCACAAACGTAGCCTATATCACTAACTGGTAGTATGCCTTCACTGGCCTTTGAATGGGTCATTTATATTATCATAATATATTTTTTATGTGTCTTCATTTACTTCACAACCAGGGTTGATTGCCCAGCAGCCACATCACATATTGGTGTAAATGAAGACACTATGGAAAATATATTATGATAATATAAATGAGTAAAAGATCCCATGAGTCCTGATAAATGCAATTTCAACTGTTTCTGAAGTGGAGAAGTGTTTGTTGGAAACACTGTTTTTCAGGTGGTCTTGTGTAGGCCCAAGGTGTTTTCTCTTTCTCTCTCTCTCTTTCTTCTGTTAAAAGCTGTTAAATTATTAAGCAGTGTCCCATGTAGGGTTTTCCTTTTTATTTATGTGGTGACCACTGGGAGTTGCTCTGGCAAAGCAAAAATAAAAGTTTCATGCAAGTTCATTGTTCTAACAGGAAAAGGCTCCGTGTTTTTATTTAAACTCAACACTTCTTTTATATAGAACACAGCTTTCTCATATTATTAAAGCAGCCCGTGCATAGAATGAATAATCGATTCTCGAGCCATCGATATCAACCAATTCAGTTCCACCGCCATGGACAGCACCTGGTAACGTCGCACGTAAGAAGGCATATCTTAAGGCTTAAGCAACATCCTAAGGTATAGTTCGGGGAACACGCCTAGAAATGGTACGCCTTTAATTAAGGCATACCTTTAGAGTCTTCGTAGCGTGCTAACAGACAACTTTTCAGCCACACAAAAACAAATTGGTTTTTCGGTGGTTCTTTGTGGTGGTTAAGGTGCTATATAGCATCACTGCCATATGAAAAAAAAACTTTAAGCCCCATAGTTCTTTAAAGGTCCTCTAACTCTCTCTCAGTGTTTTAGTTTAGTCAGGGAAAGGATTTTTAAAAAACAACATTAAAATACAGTGTATTTCCTGAAGATAACTTGGTTCTCAACCTTTCTGAAAAAAAGAAGGAAATATTCAGGGCCCCTACACATTACTTTTTGACCTCAGAAAAGCATAAAAGTAATTTAAAACACCTTTTGCGTTTGTAGTAAATTCCCATAGCAAAGAGTGGAGTAACATATCTAAAATCTAAGAAGGAGCACATATAACATATAGCACCATTTGAAAAAGGTGTAGTATAGCACTTAAACTGGTTATGATTAGCCAATGAACCATTTTAGTGCGATTTAGCACCATTTTTTTAGACAGTAGGAAAAGGGGTGAGGCAAAACTATCAATTATATTAACTTTACACACATACATTGATACATATATCCTAATGTCTTAATTGTTTAGCATTTTAGAATGCCTATTAGGGCAAATTAGCTATCCACTGGTTCACATTTACAACTGTGTTTGCAGAGTAAAAA